CAAAGTTTTTGTTATATTTGGATATGTAGTTAAGAATAAGCACAAGTTATTGGACTATTATCATTGAATTCCCAACTGAGGTTCCTCATCTAAACCACAGAATGACTGTTTTCTCAATTCTCCCCAAGTTAAGTCATTGTATACAATGAAAGTCTTGGGTCATTAAAGCTAATTCGTTCCTGGAACTCCAGTTTTACAGGGTTGTGAAATGAAGTGAGATAATTTCCCTACTTTAATAAATTCATAATAAACTGAAAAATAACTGAAACTGTTTATAGAATATTTATTTCTGTACAGGGAGCAACTTGAGTGATCAATTAGAAAAACCTGAAACTCCTGCACTGGTTTTGATCTCTTCATTTCTCTTGCCAAAAGTTATATTATTAGATCACTTCTATGGCTTCCTATTCTTAAATGTTTTCCTAAAAATTGGTTATTCAATTATTTTGTCTTACCATACTTTTCAACACTCTACTGTTAAATAACCTTCTCAAATATCCATTTTATCATGCCACATCTTGCTGAAAATAAAATTATAAATAATTGCTATATAAACAAACAAAGAAATAAAAGGAAAGCTCTATAATAACTCACCATAGCAGCTTGGGGTAGTAAGTGGGCTTTTTGGGGGAGAGGGAGGCAAGGGGTAGTTAGTCAAGTAGCCCTATGATCCAGTCACATAGTCACTGTGCGCCCTCTGAAACACTTACATTTCTAACTCTTAGTGCCCAGTAAGATGGCAGCAGAATGAAGATGGGGGGCTCATCTCCTCCACAAATATATAACCAATCACAACTAAAATATGAAACCCTTGAGAAATAAACTGATGACTACTGTATACACCAAGGGTGATGGCACAGTGGAAGAAGCAGGAAAAACTAAACAGATGCTTAAAGCAACATCAGGGCAATAAAGTAAATGAGTGGGGAGAGCAGCTACCATCAGAGTCCTTCTGAGGTTAACTCAAAAGCACATGCCCACCCTGGGGACTTTAACAACCAGGGACTATCCTGGAGAAGGGGTGCACAGAGTTGCTACATAGGATGGAGGGTGCACCACCAGAGAACTGCAGGAGGTACTCACTTGAACCTGAACCTCCATAACAAAAACAGCTGGATTCAGAACAGGCTGAGAGTCAGATCAGGTCACCTATGTCACCTCGCAGAAGAGGCTATTATTGTAGCCTTTGGCTGTGATACTCAAAACACCTGCCTTACCCCCACCCAAGGCCAAAGATGAGACAATCAGATACTGTCACTAACCAGAATCTGAAGCACCTGGACTTTAATAAAAGGAACAAGTGCCCTAGGGTAAAGCTCTATACTTGAAAGGCAAAAGAGAACAATTCTCAGTTTGTGGCCCTGTCTCAACTATAATCCCCACCCATTGTGCAAACAGCTTTAGAGGTTGAGCCTGGCCTAAGACTGTTTGTGACATGTTGACTAAGGAGTTGGCCTAGAGGAGGGGGCCCCTGTGGGTCTTCATCACACAACTGGATGCCTGCAAGAAACCCGAACCCTTGGCGCTCACAGGCAGTGATCATTTGCTGCCTTACTGCCCTGGCCCCTACCTGTTACCCTTTACCAGGATCAGCGCTCTGGTCACCTGAACAGGTATACAGGCATCAGTCTAAATTCCAGTTTCAAAGTCTTTAATAAAGAGATTTCTCTCTCTCTCAACTTGTACTGTGGTATCTGTGAACACTATAGCACAATATGTGGCATACAGAAGTTAGTAAATTGATAGAATATGTTAGTAAGTTAACACCAAAAAAATCTCTAGCATCCTAAATAAGCTTCCTTGAATCTTGCTACTCCCTTCCTTTTCATATCTGGCTTCATCTTTGGTCTCTACCAAATACATCTTTTCACTTCTCTTGAATAATTCATGCTCATCTTTTACCCTAATCATTTATTTTGCTATTTCTCTTTCTTTTCTGTCATTTGGAATGCTGCTTTCCTTCTACTCAACTAAGTAAACCCTATCCATCCTTTACAAGCTAGAAGATTCAAATCCAGTTTTTTCATTACACCTTCCTCAATTCTATCATTTCATGCTGATTTAATTCTACTTTGAATAAAGTCTAAATATACTGTCTGTTAGTTTTTTGCATTTCATCATAAATGTTACAGAAAGTGTAATCGTAGACAATAAATACATTAAAGTGCCAATTCAATTCTGCTAGCAATGTAACAATTGAACACTTTTCAAGTGTTAAAGACAACTGAAAAAAACAAATTAAGGAAAGACTGCTGAGTCTCTAAAATATTTGATTGCTGAATATGTATGTATTTCATATTATGACAAATTCTGCTCTTTGAATGTGGATACACTAGTGCACTTAGTAAGTGTTCTGAAAATAATAGCTATTAGGTAAATATTTAATTGACTAAACAAATGGCATAATTTACATAACTTTCACCAAGGAACTAAAAATGACACCATTTAATCTTTAGATCATTTTTATATACTAAGAAGGCAAGTACTATAATTTCCAATTACATTTGATCAGTGACTTCACCTTATATCTCTGCACAAAAAAATGAATTGGAAACAAGAATATTCAGGTTATCTTTTAAAAGGAAATAATCCAATAATTAAGGAAGACAATATTTTGTATAAATGATTATAAATGTGTATAGTACCAAAACAATTTTCATTTATCAAAAATAATCGGTAAAAAAACATGCACATCATACATATCCCTATTTTTGTTATATAAATCCAACAGATATTAAGCTTATTTAACAATTTTATAAATTAGCAACTTAAGTTAGATTGCCAAGCTAAGAAAATGGCCAACTCACAATTCATAGTAAATATTTATAGACTATGGTGGCCAAATATGATTCCTAGAGGAATATCACAGATGAGATAGTGAGTTTAGAATCCCACATTTTACTAAACCAATGCTTCTAAAACTTTTCCACTGAAACAGCCCCCCTTGAAAAGGCTGAGGATAAGAAATGTATGTCCTAATGACTATAATAATCCAAAACTTAGGACACAATTCTAAAGTTTTTCATGCTTTATCTTCAAATTCATGCTATAGAAAGATAGGCCATATTTATTTTATGGTTTTTGCATATCTCCTGACACACAATTATGTATACTCAATTTGAAAAGCACAGATTCAAATAATGTATGTCTATCTGAAAAACAGTTTCCTTGATTATATTATTATGAAATAATTTCATAATTCCAGGAACATATAATAAATTTTGTATTTGTTGAGTAGTAATTATGCATAAAGTGTTATATTAGGTTTTAAATACATATAGTCTAAGTTGTTTGTTTTTTTTTTTAATTAAACTTTTCTTTTTTTTTGGTGGGACCCTCGCCAGTGGCCAGGGATCAAACTGGCGCTGCAGAGGCTGCGGGCAGCCTTGCAACCCAGTGCTCAACCACTGCGCCACCAGGGGAGGCCCTTTTTTCTTTTATTTTTTTAAAGATTTATTTATTTATACAAGCACTGGGTACAGTCAGAAGCGCGGGAGGGTGAGAGAATTCACCAGAGCCAGAGTGGGGAACAGAACAGGCAGACTGACGAAATACACTGCTGAGGGGAGCAGCAGGTAAGGCAGGAGAGGTCTGTCACGCCATGTGGGACACTCACTGGCAGCCGGGGATATAACTGGCGCTGCAGAGTCTGCGGGAAGCTTCGCAGCCCAGCGCTCAACAGCTGCACCTACACGGGAGGCCCAATATAGTCTAAGTTTTCAAAGGCAAGTATTATCCCAACTTGCATGAAGGAACTAAAGCACAAAAAGATCAAATAGCACTACAGTAATACAGCTAATATATACTGCCATTTTGTATCAAAGTCTTTATTATTTCAGGATCTCATTGATATTTTAATTTTATAGAAATTTCTGTTTCTGACCTGTGTTTTTACTTTTTAGGGACTAAGATTAATGCACTGTGAATAACCCAAAGACAACTAGAAATTAAAGGAAAATTTTTTGTGCTAGAGCACTAAGACTAATCAACAATGAGTGATATAAGCCCATTTATATTAAATAAGAAACCAACATCTGATCACTAAATTGAGTCAGTTCTCAGGTCCAGTAAGACTTGGCATTGTAAACAGAGTAGAATGTAAATTACGTATTAAATTCATAATCCAGAAGGGCAGAATGGAGTGACAGAAGATAGAGGATTTAGCAAATCCTCAGTGACCACACATTTGCTTCTGCCACTAGCCAGTGACATGTCCTTGAGCAAGTCACATGCCTCTTTATATGAAGGGTATCAACTGGCAGATTTTTAAAATTCCTTACCATTCATAAGTGTCACATATTCTTAATTTAGATGGTCACACTTCAATTTTTATACCTAAGTTTCTTTTATTTTTTAAAGATTTATTTATTTATTTATTCATACAAGCACTGGGTACAGTCAGAAGCACAGGAGGGTGAGAGAATTCACCAGGGCCAGAGTGGGGAGCAGAACAGGCAGAAGGACCGAAGTACACTGCTGAGGGGAGCAGCGGGCACGGCAGAGGTCTGTCACGCCATGTGGGACCCTCACCCAGCGGCTGCAGAGGCTGCGGGCAGCTTCGCAACCCAGCGCTCAACCGCTGCACCACCGGGGAGGCCCTCTATACCTAAGTTTCTATCCTTTAGTCAAAACTTCTTTATTAGCACATTAAGCAATTCATTTTTTTGTCTTCTAACTTGCATTTGCACATATTTAACTATCAACCTTGGTCCTTCTTCATAAAACAGTCCCTTGAGTCCTTGCTTCTTTACCACTTTCACTTTATAAGCTGGATGTACTGAACAACAAAACTGCCCATATGAAAACTTCTGCCTTAATAAGTTTAAGCTCTATTGTCAAAATGTTTGTTAGAAACCCAAAATTATTTAGAGGCTATTTCAGTTTTTTTTTAATCTTTGGTGATTTAATATTTGACGTTAGTTGAAATTATATCATGTTTTTAATACAATTCAAATATTTAATTACATCAAAAGCCATAAGCAAACTAATATGTTACTAACCATCTTCCGGTTTGATTTGCATTCTGCTCTTCTAATTTCTGTAGCTCCAATGTGTAGGCCATGATTCGAGCATCACACACCATGAGATTCTTAACTGCACACAAAACCTGATCTTTCTGAGTGCTCAGAGAAAGGAGTTTCGATATTCCTCCTCGCATTCGAATTTCTAAATCTATTTTTTCTTGAATGCTGCAGTCCTTAAAAATAAAAAAAAGCATTTTTAAGAGAAACCCAAAATTATAATATTTCTTTTTCCTCCTAATAAATGGTATATGGTATAAATTGCATGCATATATGTATGTATACACACACACCAGAAAATATAAAATTATAATACTATTTACTACATTTTCCATCTAGATAGTAGATGGAAATATTACTAGATATTAATATTATTAGATAGTAATACAATTTTATAGTGTATCAGGAAAGCTTTAATTTAACAAAGTTTTAATGTGAGTTAGTAGAAAAATAAAACTATTTTAAAATGTTCATTGCAAAATCTTCATTTCTTCACAATCTGCTGGCTAAAGGACAAAGTTAAGAAATATTTCATGTTACCATAACTGCACGTGGTAATTGTATCCCCCAAATATAGCTGTATTCCCAGCATTTCAGAATGTGATCTTAAGATGGGGTCATATTGGATTAGTATGGGTCCTATAGCCAAAGACTGGCTTCCTTTATAGGAAAGCCATATGAATACAGAGAGAGACACACAGAACTCCATATTGAAGAGAACAGAGGAAAAGATTGGAATCTACAAGTCAAAGGACGTCAAGGATTGCCAGCAACTACCAGAAGATGGAAAAGGCAAGCCTAGGTTTTTCAGTGGGAACATGGCCCTGCAGATACCTTGACTTTAGACTTCTGCTTCCTGAACTATGAGAGAATAAATTTATTGTTTTAAGCTACCCAATGTTGGCAATTTGCTAAGACAGCTTCCAGAAACTAATATAATAGCTGATGAGAACAATGTAATACATGTAAATATTACATCAGTTGTACTACAGGATGGTAAATGTGGTTGATGATACTGAATTAACCAAGGAAAAACTCTGAATGAGCAGACGCTGAATAAAGAAAGTACAGTTTAGCAGCAAGGAAAAACAAGTTATTTGTCATGGTAAGAAGTATAAATAAAATTTCAGGAGTATTTTAGCAATGATATTTAATGGTCTTACTCTGCATATAAGTTTCATATGTAACATTAAAATTCTGTAATCTGAAATGTTTGTTCTGATTTAATTCATAGGTGACTTAAAAATTATAAACCACAGAATACTCTCTATTGTACTACAAATATCTAATAATGCTCCATTATGTCCATTTCCACAAATAAAATGACCATCCTAGTTTTTGTAGTAAAAAATGAATGCTATAATCTACCTTTAAATGGATTAACATATATAACCAAAAATGTGAATGGAATCTAATAACAAAAGTTTCAGACATTAAAAAGCTACTATTTTCAAAAAAGAAAAGCTGGGAGTAAATCTATGAAGATAACCCAAAAAGAGAAACTACAATAGGTAACTTGACCATCTAAATCAATCGAATGTACTATTCATACACAGAAAAGAGATGTCTAATTACCTTCTGTAATTACAGCATTTAATCACTACCTAAAAACCTTACAGTAAAACTCAAAATTAGTGTACTATATATAAGTAACCATTTGCTGGCTTTTTAAAATACAAATAAATTTCAATAATTCCATGTCATCTTTTTATGACTTGTCTGTCCCAAAATAAATTCCTTTTTAATGTAATTACTAATTAATTTTCAGAATTACCTATGTGATCCATATGTTTATAGAAATAAATTCTAGAAGGTTGTTTAGTAGTGGAGAATAGTTGGAAGCAACCTGAAACTGAGATAGTGTTATCCCACAACTCAAATACAAACAAATACTATCTTTTTTTTTTTTTAATTCTGATTTTTAAATGCTACAAGTGAGGCAGTAAGTTGGACTAGCACATTCGTTCTTAAATCTGACTGTGTATTAGAGTTACCTTGGGCAAAGAGAAAGGGTTTTATAAAAGCACTACTAACTTGAAGTCCTACCCTAACATAATTAGCATCTCTGGAGGTTGAAGCTGAATATTTTTTTTCAAGTTTCTCTGGTGAATCAATGCACAACCAAGGCAGAGTACCACAGCAATCTGGAAAGCTGCAACAAACTTAAGGAACCAGTAGATGGCCACAGTCACATTAAAGAACAGATTGGGCTTCCAGGGGTTTCCATCTAGCAAATGGAAGATCACTTATTGATAAAGACTTCATAAAATTATGTAATTTGGGAAAAAAGGAAAGGTAAAGCCAAGTTTTTCTCTTTAATCTAATTTGCAAGATTCACTGAGGAAATGTGATATATCTGTTAAATAGTAATATTAGAATACTCTCAAGTAAGATTCAGCAAATTATGCCCTAACCAAATCCTATTTTGTAAGTAAAGATTAATTGAAGATTAATGAAAAATTAATTAATTAATCTTTCATATTTTGTGTGGCTACTTTTAAGCTACAATGGCAGAGTTGAGTAATTTCAACAGACTGTGCGGCCTGTGAAGCCAAGAATAGTGACTATTTGTTCTTTTACAGACATAGTTTGTTGATCCTAACCCAGTCAAATTTACTTACACAGTAAATTAAACCCTGCCTCCCTTTGATAAATAGGTCTCAGGTTACTGTGAGCCAAGTGGATCTGGGAGAGCAGTCACAAGCAGGATGAACTGGAAGTTTATAAATGATTTTGAATGTATTTTGGGTAAAGTAAAAGGTGGGGTGTTATTGTGTTCACCAAGCAACTTATTTTAATACGCATATACACTTTACAAGCAGAGGAAACCTTATTAGTCAAGTATTTGTAGCTCTAGCCAGAATAGGATTTATGGAGTCAAAGGACTTTGTCTTCAATGCTCATGTAATGAGGACACCCAATGCACATTCTTTTCTTCAAAAAGAAAGAGTAGGTAGCCAAAATCCTGACTGCTGCCGCCTCCACCAGAATAGTGGATTCAAACTTGTCTCCCTATATTCATTCCTCCTAGGAGTGTTTGAAAGCAAATCTTCAAGAAGAAAAAGTAAATGGGGTTGGGAGGAGTCATCCTCTTGCTATTCTTCAATTTTCCGAACAAAGGGTTTGCTTATAATCAAATTAAACAGATGACTATGGTACTGTCTGATATTCTAGGTATTTCAAGTCAGGCTAATAAAGAATAAATGGACAGAGCAAGACTAAAAATGAAAAGGAAGATACTAGAAAGTGAAAAACAAGGTTATATTAAAAATAGTAACCTACTATGTTTTAAGAACTAGAATGGCACAAAGGAAATGGCCTTAGTGTTGGAATTAAGCACTGACTAAAAAAAAAAAAATGAGTTCGGGCTGTTGGTAAAACAAATGTAATAATCCAGGTAGAAACTATCACTCCCCCTAATAGATATGGTTAAGTAACTGAGTTAGCTAACTAAGATGGGGGTAAAAAAGATACCAGAATGTAGTAGTCATTCTTCTTAAAAAGTCTGTATTTTAAGGGGCCTCCCCTGGTGGCACAGTGGTTGAGCGCTGGGCTGCGAAGCTGCCTGCAGTCTCTGCAGCGCTGGTTCGATCCCCGGCCACCAGTGAGGGTCCCACATGGCGCACAGACCTCTCCTGCCGCCCGCTGCTACCCTCAGCAGTGTACTTCGATCCCTCTGCCTGTTCTGCTCCCCGCTCTGGCTCTAGTGAATTCTCTCACCCTCCCTCACTTCTGACTGGACCCAGTGCTTGTATAAATAAATAAATCAATCTTAAAAAAAAAAGTCTGTATTTTAAAAATTGTTTATGTACAGAAACAAAGGTCTAGAAATTGTTGATACTGGTCATTCTGGGGAATGAAATGGGAGAAAAAGTTTAAATTCACATTTCTGTTTATGTTTACTCTTCTTTCATGAAATAATATTTCTTGATTTTTGTTTTCATTGGGATTTCAAAAGCTTAAACATTTGTAAGAAAAGGTAGGTGACAGCTCCAACTGCTCAAATGAATGGAACAAAAGATAATAACAGTAACAGTCATTTCTCAAGCAAGTTCTCAGAGTTGGCTACTGTGGTAAGTACTTTATAGAAGTGTTCAAATTCCAACAAGTTTGAGGGATAAGCCCAGTATACAACAGAAATTAAAAAAAAAAAAAAAGAACAGCTAACTAATGTAAGGCTGCACAACAAGGAGAGCAGGCTTTCACCTTAAGCTCATTTAAAACCCAACAATTCTATGATGTGAATAGTCACAGATAACTCCAAGGTTTGAAAAGAAGTATTTAATCACTGGCCACTTCAAAATATATGGTCTGATCACTACTAAAGGGCAGGAAATAGCATTAATATCAAGGAAAACTCATCAAATAACTAATCCTCAATATTCTTGTTAAGTTGAAACCCATTACTAATTTGCAGTTTTTCTCCAAGATTCAAACAAAAAGAATGCCAGAACTCAATTATTTGAATTTCTTGCTGCCTAAAAAAAATCATTTAGTATTGTAGTTTCCCACATAAGTATGAAATTCAGCTCTTATGTACATTTAAATATTTATTTTCATTCTGGTAACTAAACTTCTTTCATGAACTTAATCCTTTTTTTTTGTATCATTTTTAAATTTACAGCTGCATAGAGCTCAATAAAAATACCTGAATAATTACATCAACACCAATATAGTAGGTGTAAGAACCCAACAGATCACCAGTTCACTAGAAATCACAATCAGATTAGCCAAGGCACTCAAAGGGATAGGACAGATAAAATTACTTACATCAAAATTTTTGAAATGTTCGAAAACGTTGGCATAAAACGGCATAAATTACTTGACAAAGGTACTAGATTGTTTTGTGCATGAAGCTTAATGTTTTGCTTTAATGTTCACATTATTGAAGACTTCTTACCAATTTTGCATCTACTGAAGAAATCCCAGGTTCCTAAGCAAAGGTACTGGATTGAACCAGGTGAAATTGCTAGTACCTTTGACCTACAAATCCGGCAATTTCATATGGGTTAGCCTACTTCAGAAGTAGGTAAAAGGTGGAGATTAAAATGAAATTGAAGATGCAGCTTAAAAATTTTGTGTTTTTTAAAACACTAAAGATTTTAGAGCAGAAAGTAGTATGCGTAACATTTTAGTAAATGGCCTCAAAGTAAAAAGCTTTCTAATACACATTTATGAGTGTGAATTCATGGCTAAATGGCAAATAAACTTCTTTCTTAAAGTGTTCGCTTCCTTTCCTTTCTATTTGTCAAAGAATCCATCATCGAGTCACCTTCTGATAGAGTTGAGCGGCTGCTCCCTGCTTCTCCACCCTACTCCAGCAACTTTGCATGGTGTGTAGACATAGCTCTGGTAATTGTGCTTTTATTAAATCTAGTAAGAAGCAAAACTGTTCTCCACTTGGCTTCGGGTGGGCTTCTTGGAAATCCCGGGGAACCCAGACCCCCCAAGCCCCACCAACGCCAGCCAGGTGGGCAAGCTGACAGGTGCGCCCCGAAACTCCGCGGCGGGGCTCCGCACCCCTTCCCTAAGAAACTGTGCGCGGTCTCCCTTTGTTTCTGGTCCCAACTGGCTTCGAGACGCGGGATGGGAACTTTCCCACAAAGACAAAACCCCCGCGTAAGAAGTTGAAGACGGGCCCTCCCTACTCACCTGCGGCGCGGGAAGCCCCGCCAGGCCGAGTCTGGGACCGCTCGGGGTCTGATCCTCCATCTCCGGCGCCACAGCCAGAGCCTCGCCCGCCTCCAAAGGTAAGATTTGAAAAGCCCGCCCCTAGCTGGAGGCTCGGAGGACGCCAACCGCCCGGTTGTACCAAGTGCCGGCCGCAGGGGAAGGGGCGCGGGGGGTGGGGGGGGCACCAGCCGGCGCGCGCACGCGCAGTCGAGCCGCCCCGCGCCCTGTGCGCCGGAAGTTGGCGGAGACCCGCGTTCTCTGTGCGGGGTTGGAAAGTTGGGAGCAGCTGGCTGAGTTAAGCTTCTTTTGGGATGTGGGCGGACCTGGGGGAGGAGTAAGCGGGTTCGTGGGGAGAGCAATGGCCAAAGAGAGCTCCTGATCGGGCTCAGGATTTGGGCTGGTGGCTTTTGAAGCACGCCCTGTGCTAGGGTACCTTCTGCTAGCATCCCACTCAAGGCCCTCCAAAGCACGGGAGGGTGGAGATTGCTTAAGGCTGCAGTTCCTCGGCTTCTGCAGACAATTCAGGAATACATGGTGCGGCTATGATCCCATGTTCTTAATCAGAGAACCAAGTGACGCCACTCTCAGGCTTCTTTGTCTCACACAGCACAGTGTGGTCCGTCTAGGAGCACTCAGCTGGGCCTTATTGATTAGGAATTTCACAAGGTCGTCTCTTTCATCCCCAGTGTGTCTTTACAGTTCCACATCCTTCCCCCGAAATTCTGTTCTTTCTTGCAAAAGAGTTCTTTCACTACTCTTTCACTACCAACATCCATGCCGAATGAAGTATTGTTTCCCCAGAACCCCATTCCTTGCTCTTCCTAAAGACCAGTACGATGACTTTTTCATTAAAGAGTTTTATTAATAATAATATAGGAAAAATGTGGAATCTTTAAAAATAAAAATTGAAGTATCAAAAATTAAAGCCCTTATGAGCAGAAAACATTTATCACCTGAGGAAAGAATCTACTAAATAGCTCTCCCACCCTCACCTCATAAAGGGCCTTTGACAATTTTTCTTCCATAAATGGGGTGATCATGCCTTCTTACTTTTTATTTATTTATTTATTTATTTATTTTGCCTGAGACAGTTTCTGTTTGGGCTTGTTGTCCTAATATCACAATCTTACACTGGTCCCAAAGTGGATATTAAATTAGAAGGTGACATTATCCACAAGGTCATTTTTTTTTTTTTTTTACTCAGTTGGTTTGAAGGCATACTTCTAAAAATGTGGTTGCTCTTCCTCTTAAATGGGTATTTTGCCTCTTTGAGGCCTTTTTGACTAGGCGATGACCCTCCCTTTAAATTAGGAATGTATTGGTCATTAGAAATGATCCATGTCCTTAGACACAACTATAAAAAAAATGTACAGCTCAAAATTACCAACACAGAGTTCACTTCATTCACTCCAAACACAGATTGAATTCTGGAGGCATTAGGTTCCCTTCCCCCTCTGCACACTCTTTTGCTTACCACTTTGTGTTGTAATTACCCTCAACCCTATTCAAAGTAATGAGCTTAGTATAGTACTGCATGAAGTTAGTATAGTACTTGACTCATAAAAGAAATACACAGAAAGGATTCATCATGTATTATTTCTCATATAACACATGTATTATTTCTCATATAACACACAAAACTCAGATTCAGATCAAAATACTGACAGAAGCCATTATCTCATGGAAATAGGAGCAAGCCAACCAATTTTAAATTGAAACTTGATGTAGGAATATATGAGGCATAAATACTGGGTATATAACTGGAGATGCATTTATTTATGATACCCAAAAATAGATCTAGGACAAGTCATCTTTAGTAACTATTTGTAGAATTAGGTAGTAGTTGTTTAAAGTCTTTCCTTTGGAGAAGATATGGTATATGGTGTGTCCTGTCATTCATCACAAGATTGGCCAGGAAGTGCTTAAAATATAAATACCAAAAGGTTAAAGCGTTTACATGCAATAGCTTGATTATCATGAGAATGAATGAATGAATACCTGAATGAATTTAATTTCCAGAAAATAAGTACTGTCTCTCAGTATCTCAAGTATTTCAGAGATAGCATTTGATCATCTCTCATTTAAAAGATAGCATCCTCATTTTTTTGTCTCCCACAACATGTACATGTTTATCCAACTGTTTAGGTATGGGAGCTTCAGCTGGAGCTTGAGTGATGGAATAATATTCTGCCAATATTTTTCCACTGTAAATTCAACATTTAATGTTAATTACAATAAAGGTGTTAGTTATATCTAGATAGTATATTAAAAATTTAATATAGAAAATAGAGAAATCAGTATTTGATGTAAATAGGACAGCCAATTTAGATACCATTAAATGTCAAAGTGTAATTTTCTTCTCTTTAGCCCCTGTATTCCTCTTTTAAACTTTAAAAAGACAAAGAAGGAAAATACTGAACTTGAAATTAGCTCTTACTTACATAGTGGGCACATTAATTTCGAAAATGTAATTTGCCATAGGACATGTAACAACACATTACGGTTTTTAATATCCTCCTAAACTCTTAACATGAAAAATATATGTTCTGTTTAAAAATCCTTTTGATGCTTCTTTTACTCATCCATTATAATACTGATATTAGAATTAACTTAATAGGCTAGAGCTGTATTTTAAATTATTTTTTAAAAATAAATAAATAAAAGGAAGGAACTGAAGTAAGGATGCTAAGCAGAGGTGCCGCATTTGCTTAAATGAATAAACCATAATCTACAAAGTGCCTCAGCATCTTATAATCATAAAGAGGATATGGAATGCAGAGTCTGAGGACTTATTAGTCCTATGACCTAAGGCAAGCCACTCAGTGTTCTTATCTATAAAACAAGAATAATAATACCCAGCTTGTCTTTTAAAAGTTGCTGGGACAGATCAACCTGACAGAAAATCAACAAGGTAACAACAGCATTAAATGAGAATTAGAACAGATGGATTTAATAGACATTTATAGGGTGTTTCACCCCACAAAAGCTGCATACATAGTCTTCTCAAAGGCTGTTGGAACATTCTTAAGAATAGACCGTATGTTGGGCCACAAAACAAGTGTCAATAAACTCATAAAGAGTGAAATAATTTCAAGTGTCTTCTCTGACAGCAATGGTATGGCACTAGAAATCAAGAGAAAGAAAACAGAAAAAAGATTCAACAGGTAGAGACTAAACAACATGCTACTGAATAACTATTGGGTTAATGAGGAAATCAAAAGAAAAATTAAAAACTGCCTGGAGACAAATGAAAATGAAGACATGAGCTATCAGAATCCGTGAAATGTAGTAAAGACTATGCTAAAAGGAAGTTTATAGCGATATAGACCCTATTAAGTGCTGCAGGGGGCATTGTTGCCCCAGCCAGATAGGATACTGACAAGCAGCTAAGAGAAAAGGCCTCACACCGTGGGGCTGAAGATCTGGCATCCCTTTGCTTTTCATTCTTGGTCATAGAGAGAGAAAAAATTATCAAAAAGTATATTAGACAATAAATTATATGTATCAGCATACTGTCAGTAAATGGCACAGAAAATTGTCTGTTTAGAAATTAGTTGTTGGGCAGTTTGGCCCACTTGACAATGGAAAATGGTTTGTTGTGCATGCCTGACAAGCAATCCAGCACAACAATTGTAGTGGGTCCTTCTTTTGCCTTCTCTTGAAGTTTCTTGGCAAAGTTTTTAAATGAAGCTATTTGAGTTAAGGAGTTTCTAGGTAGAAAAAGTTCTGATAGCTGAGTAGCAGCTGGTCCCCAGCTGAAGGCCATGCGAATAAGAGGAGTCTTTTCTTGCTTGGGCTTTTGTTGATAGGGACATACTGGCGGCTATCTACTGTCTTAGGTTATTGTTTTGCTGAAACAATGAGTTTTAGTGTAAGACTTCGTTTTTTATTAACCTTGAAGGTTGCCTTCTTACTGAGAGCCCGTAGTGGCCAAAAGCCTATGGAAAAAGACATGTACTGATTGTTTCTTCTTTGTTTCTATGCACATGATAATGTAATCTCACTGCATGCAAAAAACGTATAAATAAAGAACTTGCTGAGCCTCTCCACAGAAGATACTAGCACCTCACCAAGTGTCGGTGTCTCCTCATTCTACCTCATCCCTTTCCCCTCAGTCCTTTCGTTTTTGCCGACGCCATCTCATCCTTTCAGGAACCCCTGACACGACATTTGCCGAGGCTGGTCCCTGGCAATCAAGTAACAAAACAAAAAGCTCAAATTAATAATCTAACTTTATACCTTAAGGAACTAGAAAAAGAAGAACTATTGAAGCTGAAAACCTCTGAAATAAGGAAAATAATAAAAATTATTATTAGAAGTGAATGAAATTAAAAAGACAGAATGAAAAATCAATGAAACCAAGAGCTGGTTCTTTGAAAGGATAAACAAAATAGACAAATCTCTAGTGAGACTCTGTAAGACAAAAAAAAACCCTAATATATGAATAGAAATTTAAATGGAGAGGTTACAACAGACATCTTAGCAATACAGAGGAACATAAGAGACTACTATGAATATCGTTATGCCAATAAATTGGATAATCCAGAAAAAAAAGGAAAAATTCTTAGAATCCTACAGCCTTCCCAGACTCAGTCAGGAAGGAACAGAAAAGTTGAACAGATAAATTACAAACTAACAGAAAAAAAAGCATGAAATCTTGCCATTTGTGACATGAATAGGATTAAAGTTATTGGGAGACTTAAATAAGATTTGTGAGAGTGCTTGGTAAACTGCCTGTCCCACACAAGCAAAAGGTATTGCTACTGCAGGAAATAAACGTCAGTATCTATGGGCTGATGTCCTATTGTACGGGATTCACAGAAATATGAGGACTGAATGACAAAATCTTATGTGAGTAGATTTGGAAATTTTAAAGACTTGAATATATATGAACTACCACTAAAAAATAATTAGCACTTAGACTATATATAAAAAACTACAAATCAATAAAATGTCAACTGGAAAATACTCAAATGTATATTTGTGGATATATTGTAGGAGAGTAACCCAAATGACAAATAAAATGTAAAAGGTTGCTCAACTTTATTATTAATCTTAATCTGCAAATTGCAAAATAAGACTCCAAGGAGATAATATTTTATTGTGACAAATGGTAAATATTAAGAAGTTTTATAATGCTGAGGGTTGGTAAAGATGCAAGTCAAAGGA